TTTCCTCTTTCTAGATCTATGCCCAGGAGTAGTTTTATGCTGGATCATATGGTAACTCTCTTCAGCTTTTTAAGGAACCTCAGTACTGTTCTGCATACTCATTGCACCAAATTACATTCACACAAAACTAGTATTTTTTTTTAAACTTCATGTGATCGAGGGATTCTGACAATCAATAGCTTTAGGATCTATTATATAGAATTTTAAATTTTTCTAATTTTTAACACTTAGATTCAAAACCCAGTCTTTTGAGGTTTTTCCATTAGAAGTCTGAGCTAGGAGCCGCCCTGACATTTTCTGTCCCTGGGAGGGCAGTGGGGAAACACGGGGCTGGAAGAGACAGGACACAAGGGAGCGCCCCCTGGAGACTGGCTTTTGAAGGGCTTTGATCATCCCTGCCCAGTGTCAGAGTCAGTCAGGGGGTCAGAGCCCAGGCAGCTGGGCAGGCTCGGTTTCCATGGTGACACTGCCTCTGTCAGGAAGCAGGGATTCCGTCCTGTGGGCCTCTCCCCATCAGTGCGGAGCTTTTCCCACCTGCGGGATCCTGAGGGTGACCAGGCACCTGGCTTCTTCAAGCAACGGCTGCCAGTGTCCACAGCTCCTGCCGGGAGCTTATCAAGTCGATGGAAAAGGAAACGAATGAAAGAACACAGCCCGGGTCAGCAGCAAGAAAGAGCCTCACTTACCTGTAGCTGGGCAGTCTTCTTGCTTTGTGACTCCAGGACGTGTGGGCCCTCCTCTCTCCCTGCTGCCTCCTCGCCACCTGCCACAAAGCTCACGGAGCGGAGAACCTCCTGCTCGCAGCCAGGGGAAAGATCTGTTAAAAGCAAAAAAAGTGAGATGACGTGAAGCTGAAAGTTGGAAAGAGCAGTTCCCTTTCCACGGTGGCCGTCCCAGACCAAGGGGAGGCAGAGAGGCGCGGCGGCCCTGCCCCGGGTTCCCAGGGAAGGAGCCGAGCCACCAGTCCCGCTGACTGAACTGTATTAAAATTTTAAAAATTCAAACAAACAAAACAAACTCCTTTTAAAGGAGTGAAAAGGCTCCTTGTTTGCTGAGCCGGCCGGTGACCTGTGATGCCCAGTGTGGAGGAGCGGGTCCTGGATTTGGTCAGGAAATTGACCAGGCGTGTGGCTTCTCGGCGGCGGAATCTGTTGACACAAGCAATCCTCAGCACGCTGGGTGATTCGAGTGCACTCTCGTAATTCGCTCACTTTACCCCCTCGCCACTTCCAGGTGCCACCAGCCTGCCCCGCCCCCCGCTGAGTTATGTGCTGCGGAGGACGGATGCTCTCCTACCTCCCACTCGGGCAGGGCAGCTCCAGCTCCGGGAACTCACAGAACCTATTGTTCGTCCCTTTCTTCCCCAGCGCTGTCACTGCAGCCCTGAGCTCCAGCCCCGCAGGGAGGGCAGGAAACAACTCCCAGGAGAGCCATCCGTCATGGTACTAAAGGCTCCATGTTTTACTAAGTTCCATCAAAGTTCACGTACACACTGAGCAAAACAATCCTTCTTTATGCGTCCTTTTTTTTTCCCCTCAGCATAGATGCTGCTCACAGACGTACAAGAAGTACTCGCATGTGTGTGATGGGTGTGCTTGAAGCTGTGTGCCTGCCTGTCCGTGCAATGCTGGGCGTGGGCATTGGGCCACGTGCCAGGGCACGTGGGACCCCCAGCCCCGGGCCCGACCACCACCTTCACAGGCCACAGTCGAGGCTGAGCCACTCCTTTGCTTGCATTTTCATGGATTTCTCCTCTCCACTCTTCTTCCCAGAATCCCGTTTGTTTTAATTGCCTCACTCACTTATGCATCTCCAAAGACTAGTCATTAGTGAGCAGGCCCGGCCCACGGCTGGAGAGCCCTCCCCATTCTGCCCACACCCCCAGAGTCACCGGAAACGCCTTGCTCAGTAATGAGGTCAGGACTCCTCTCTGTGGAGCCCAGGAAGACATAAAGGCAGCCTGTCTCTGTGTCAACAGCAGCTCGGGCTTTCAACCTCTTCTTTCTGCTATAAGCTCTCTGATGATTTACTTTAGAAAAGAAGAACATTGTTAAGAACAAAAGTCCGTGTACCTGACACACAGTGAGGCCAAACAATACTGAAACGTGGGAGGTGGGAGCAGAGAAAGGTCTACTGCTGGGCCGAGCAAGGAAAACGTGAGGCTCGTGTCAAAAAGACCCTGAACTTTTGGAAGGATCTGAGCATCTTTAAAGGCCACGTGAGGGAGGGGCGTCTCTGGGTCTGTGATCAGCTGCACACAGTTCTGACTGGTTGATGGTGATCAATCCTTAGGCCCCAGAAGGTCTGGGGGCTACGTGCTCATGATCATCAAGCAGTTAATTTCTTCCATTTGGTGGTGGATTTTTAGCATCTGAAAAACTCAGGAAATCTGTATGAGGTACTATCATCTGGGTCCTTCAGAGAGGAGCTGCAGCACAGGGTCTGGGGAGGGGTCTGTCCCGGGAAGGCCCCCGGGTCCTGCTGGGTTATACAATTCCCTCCTTTTCTTTGATGCTCCTCAGTCTTCAGGAGAACAGGGGTTGGACAAGAAGGGGACTGTTTTGGACAGAAAGGTTGATCATAAACTCGCAGAGGAACTTGGTTTCATCCTCAAGCCCTGTCTTATCCCGCCCCAGATCCTTCAGGGCCTGGGGTAACAACTGCTCTGGCTGCTTCCTGCTGAAAAGGGGCATAGGGCTACCTCCATCTGGAGAACGGACAGCAAGTTGGAAATATTCCAAAGTTCCAAGTCCTGGGTCCCAGTCTTGCATAATTAAAATCTCATTCCTTGAGGAATTCAGGAGAAGCAGCCTGAAAACCAGCCTGGACCTGGCGCTCTGGGGGAGGCCTGCAGCCAGACAGCCGGTCATCTACTTTCACCTGAGTGGGTTTTAACATTTGATGTGGTGTTAACATGTACACGACACGAGCTATTGGCCACTTCACGTGTCTCCTTTTTTCTAACATCTGATCTACAACAATTTGATTGTCTAAAAACTTAATAGTTGTAACAGGAGACCTTGAGGGCACAAGGTTGCAGCTGCCACCTGGCATTGCCTCAGGAGTGGCTGATGGTCTCCCAAGTGTGACACAGCTCAGAAAATTCGAGCTCTCAATGATACAAGAACGTGTCCAAAATCACACCCCCAGTAGCCACCTAGGTTTACCTTGGGTGTCTGAACCACAGCTGCTCCACTCTGACTTTCAAATGCACTCCCCTCCTCAAGGCCAAGGCAGATGGACAGTATGTGTCCAACAGGCCATAAACAGGCTGCTTTGGTCAGTGAAGTGTAAGTCAAATCACGTATGAGCCAGAATGCCTTCCCCACACCTCAGTATGTGCACATTTCCCCCTCATCTCCCCTTTTGATTGCAAGTCTTTCAGTAGAAAACACTGATGATCAAAATTTCTGTCCCTGGTGCTGGGGTGGTGGCTCCTACCCCAGGTTCCAATCACGCCCCTTGGTGCTGGGCCTCCTTTCTATTTACCTCATTATCCACGTGGGGAAACTTAATCAGATGTCATGAACAGGCACAGAGCTATGTTAGTGGGAAAACACATTATAGGCCATACATGTTATCACTTACACCCAATGGTTGCACAAGTGTCATGTGTGTGCTTTTAGCAATAGACTTAGACCAAGCATTGCGGTACATCATAAGCAGTTATCCTCTGTGACAACTCCGTTAGAGACTCCTTCTACCCTAAACATTGGGGGCAACAGTGTGGTTGGAAGTAAAACAATAACTCTTCATATTGATAGGGAGACAAATATCTGATAAACAATTCAATTGGAAAGTGTAGATTAGGGTTTTTAGGGCAATGAAGTTATTCTGTACGATACTATAGGGGTGGCTACATGCCACTATGCATTTGTCAAAGCCCATAGAATTTACAACATCAAGAGTGAACCCTAATGTAAACGATGGACTTTGGTTGATAATAATGTATCCATGTTGGATCATCGATTGTACCAAATATGCCACACTGTGAGGGATGTTGAGGGTAGGGGAGCGTATATGTGTGGGTGGGGAGGGCTATGTGCAAACTCTGTTACTTTCTGCTCAGTTCTGTTGTGAACCTGAAACAGCTCTGAAAGAATAAAGTCTATTAAAAAAATAGTGTAGATTAAAACCCAGTAATATTTCAGATAAACCAAAAAATTAAACCATATTCACCAGTTTACTCAATCCTGTGTAATTAATTCTTTTTAACAGTTTTACAAAATTTTTCATTAGACCTTTTGAACATCTTATCCAGTTCAGCAGTATGATTTAAGAGAAACCTGTACTTGTCACAAAGCCCTTTTAAGAGATGAAGCAGTTTTGCAAAGCATCAGCTTAACTGTCTATAAAAGACAAAAGACTTTAAAAAGGCAAGGTTAAAGATCTGGTTATAACGTTGTTGACAAAGAAGCTTCATCAAGTTGCCATGGCAGACAGCATTTTAAGATAACAACTGGACCAGCAGTAGAGTTATGACTGATAGCATCATACCAGGACAAAGCTAAATTTTAGGAACCTTATGTAATTTCCAGAAATCATTCTATGTTAATAGCATTTATCAGTATCATGTAATCTGAGGATGCTTATCACTCATCCGACAATGCCGTGTAATTTAAAGTATCAGCCAATCCTAGCTAGTTTAATATTTGTCTCTGAGATGTCTCAGGGGTCCTCTGAAGCCTCCCACAGTCAGATGAAGTCAAAAGAACTTTGATTAGAATTTGATAAGAAGTTTGTCAGCAACATCAGAAAGTCTCACACAGTGTGTTATCAGAAGCAACCGTTATCACAAGCAAGTAAACTTGTTCTCTTAGCAGAGAGGAAGCCAGTCTAGTCTGGCACCAGCCTTCTTTTAATAGCAAGATCCATTTACTTAAATCTCATCTCAGCCCAACCATGCACAGAACTCCTTTCTTAAGGAGTTCTTTCTACAAATTTTGCCTTTAATAAAATGCAATTCCATTCCTCATAGTTTTTACTCAAAACATACATCCTACTTTCCTACTGTACACCAAAATGTTTCCTTTATTATTTTCAGTAGCTTTAATGACATTTAAATTAGAATCCTCAACTCTGAAAAACCTTAATTTCTAGTGAAAACCAGGAAGTAAGCAATTAGGAGCTTTTACGTTAGCATTCTGTAGACTGGCAAACATTAATGCCAATAATAATTTAAAAACGTGTGCTTTTTATAGAAAATATCTCAGTGCGGCACCAAATGTATTTAATAATAGTCCTAAACACCTTTAGTTTGTCTGTAAAGGGCAGCCACTGGTCAGTAAATAGTGTTCCAGGATCTTATTTTGTTTGGGAATGACCCAGCTATTCAACAGACTTCCATCATTTAAAACATTT